TCCATTTCTGCTGTTGAAGCAGCTGTTCACACATGACAAGATGCCGATTACGTCTCTGGGTTTCAACCTATTTATGTGTGTGTGTGTGTGTGTGTATATATATATATATATATATATATATATGTGTGTGTGTATATATATATATGCACAGTACTTATTGGAAAGCGGTCAATATCAGTGATAGAACTAACATATTTAGTTGGATTTATGTGAGTTTGTGACCCTGGGTTTCACACTTTCACAATCGGTGGGTGGGCATGGGTGTGTCTGTGTATGTAAATGAGTGCACAGGTGTGTATGTATGTTTGCATAAGTATGGGTGGCGTCCTGATGACAATTTTTCTTCCCACTTCCATGAAAACACTGATATATGCAACCCTATATAATTCCAAAATTTAAAAATTAATCAGTTTGTCTGATAATCACAAAAGCATGAAACCCACGGTCACAAACTCACATCAATCCAAATATATATATATATATATATATATATATATATATATACACATATACTATATATATATATATATAATATATATAAATTGATAGATAGTTAGATATCTTTCAATTAATGATCTAAAATAAATACACAAAAGATCCTACAAATTGAGAGTTAATATAAAAGAACAGTCTTTCTAGTTCAAGTGACAAAATAAGTGTCAGAGTGACTTCAGCTGAGCACTTTTCAGCATGCCTTTGTGTGTGTTTATATATGATATATATATATATATATATACACACACATATATATATATATATATATATACACACACACACATCTATAATATACACACACATACATGCACACATAATATTATGCTCTACTGTGTATTTAGCACTGTTTTTTTTAAATAAATGCTAAATAACTCTGGATTATAAATTTGTTCTTTCTTTTTATTTTGATATATATGTACACACACGCACACATATATATACATATATATCTATCTGTAAAACAAGTTGTCTGTCTGTCTGTGTCTGTGTGTGTGTGTGTGTGTGCTATTTATGCACATCCACATTTCTCAACTGATTTCGATGAAATTGTATACACATTGCAAATTTATCAAAGTAGGTCAAGACCAAATTTGCAATCTCCAGTTCTTCGGGTTTTGGCAGAAAAATTGCTAAAACTGAAGGTGGGTATGACTTTTGCAAAAACCAAGGCAATGTTAAATGCAAACAAAATTTTTACTGGATGAGTGGATGTTCTTTGCCCTTAATGCAAAACATAGTTCATGTTACAAGGTTTATGTAGAGTGTGTGATAGTTTTCCTGTGACATTGGCTTCACACAAAAAATTACAAAAAACTGAAAAATCAGGTTTTTTTGTTCTACTTCATAATAAATCCACAAAATGTTTTTTTACAATATCCAATAAATCCATTCCGTATGTATAAACTGTTTCTACTTAAAATAACAGAAATTATTGATAAAGAAAAAGACAATTGAGATTAGAAAGTGTAGACATACACAGAGCTAAAATTTAGTAAAACTGCTGATACAAGAAAAACCAGTTTCTTATTCAAAATTTCAAATGTTCTAAAAAGGGGTAAAAAATTTAATTAAACATCAAGAAAATACTTTGATTCTTCCTCTTAATAATAACGTAAAGATTTTGATGATAAAACTATGTTCGCATTACATTTGGAGCATGTATTCATCATGGTACGCTGATATATATATATTTCTGAAATTTCCAAGCTGCAGGTACCACCTTTAGACGTGCAGCTCGGAAATCCACACACGGATTGCCACAGCCATGGCCAAATTGGTAAAAATATGGAGGAGCAAAAATCAGCTTTTAAAGTCCAGACTAAAAATCACTAGTAGTCTTCATTCTCCTATATAGATGTGAAACATGGACACTTGGCAGAAACAGAGAGAAGGGTCCAAGCATTTGAGGACAAATGCATGAGAAAACTCTTTAGCATCTTCTATTGTGAACCTAAAACCAACATTATTTGAGATCATCACAAAACTTTTGTAGCCTCTCTCACAGACAGGCAACTTGGATGGAACCTGAAAACAGAATCTGATGCAAGATGGCTCACCTTAATTAAACTTTAAATCAGCTAATATTTCTCAAAGAAAGTTTCAGAAAAGTATATTTTATTTTTAAAAGATTTTTTAATAAACAAATTACATGGTGCAATGGATAAATTGCCGTCTAAATTATGCAAAAATAAAAATAGTACTAACATTTCTAAAAGATATATTTACTAAAATTATACAAGAATATTTTGAAATACTAAAGAGTAAATTTATTTAAAAAAAAAAAAAATTGCCATTGCTTTCAACCACAGCCTCCAGACAACTTTGAAATTTCCTGCAACTCTTCTGGACTTTCTCCCCATTTAAGTTGGTGAATGCTACCATAATCCTTGCCTTCAGTTCAGCTTTGGTGTTACAAGGAGTTTTGTTAGTCTCTCACTCAACTGTGCCCCACACATAATCAAGGGAGTTAGATGGTCAGATGTAACGGGCAATGTGGTTGCAGAAA